AAATAAATAAATAAATAAATAGCTTGCATGGCCTTGAGCAAACTACCCAGTTCCAGGATGCCCCCAGAAGAAGCAAATGGTAAATTACTTCTACATATTCTCTACCTAGAAAACCCTGAAAAGGGTCTCCATAAGTCTGAATTGACATGGTGGCATGCAAGCTGCCTTGGGTTCTTTTAAGGAGAAAGGTGGAGTGTTTATAAACAAACAAAGTAAAATGCTTAAAGCCAGAATCTATGACTCTTAGCACAAGATGTGCCATGGTTAACCAATGAGGTCCTGGGGTACATTTTGGTTGTACAGTTGGGTGTATGATCAGACATATGATTGAGACACACTGTAGCATCTTGGCAGTTAGCAGCAATTAGCTGTTGCAAGTTACACAAGCTTTAAGCAAACTCCAATAGAGAGGTGCCATTCATCTGTGGGTTTGTTTGTTTTTAACTAAAGATGTAATAATACTGGTTTTGTGGGAATCCCACCTGACAGACAGACTCCTAGAGGTACCTAAATGTGGCTCACCTTGGAGAAAGGTCTAAGATGGAAGATTTTATGGCCTCATACGGGCCTAGTTCTGCCTAGCTTTGTCTTTGAAAAAGAAACTCCCAGCAAACACTGGGAGCACCTTTCTTTTCCAAAAGTAATCTAGGCCCAAACTCAGCCTATCCTGGCCCATAAGGCCTTCCAGCCCAGTCTTCTTTCAGATGAGGACAATTTTGGTGTCTGGCTGCCAGGTGGAACTCTCAGAATGGAGGATTACGGGGTTTGGAATAGAGATGAGGGTATTCATATATGAATACCCCCGCACAGGTGGACGTAACGAGGGTCTGACCCCCTGGGGCCTGTCTGTCCACTCACCTTCCACTGCTTCTGTGGGCTCCGTGCTCCCTTCCTATCACTCCAGACCTCCTGGTGGGGAAGCCACTGTTCGACCTGGCAGCGAGGCTCGTCCCGCCTCCTTCCAGGAGTGGCTAGCTGACCATGCGCTCCGTAGCAGTAAGAAGGGATCCCACGGCAGCGTTGGAAGGTGAGTGGACAGTTATGTCCACCTGTGCTGGGGTGTTCATATTTGTATACAAATATGAATATGTATCCCCATGTCTAATTTGAAATAACCCTTGAATTCACACACCTAAACGCAAATAGGTTTCTGTCTGTTAAAATTATATACTCAATCATACATAATCTAACTGAATATAGTATGTATCCAGTAATTTGTTAGAAAACTAATTTTTGTATTTTCATACCTGTCCTCAGATGTATTGTGAAGATCACTGGTGATATGACTGTATCATTCCCAAGTGGGATTATTAAAATCTTCACCAGCAATCCATCCCCAGCTGTGCTGTGCTTCAGGGTAAAAAACACAAGCAAACTAGAGCAGATTCTTCCAAATTCACACCTTGTGTACAGGTTTTGTATTTTATTTTTTTTTACAGTTTATTAACAACCATTAGCTCTGCTGCATTGCTATCTTTTTATATGTTCTCTGACTGTATAGCCTTGTTCACCCTGCAAAATATGTGTCATCAAATTCCACTCTATTTAAGCCTTTGTTTTCCTTTCAGCTCCCTCAAATTAACTTGTGTTACTTTTACAAATATAGTAAACTTGTAGATTTATACTTTTGTTCATGTAAAATGAGCAGTCAAGATAGTGTACTTCTAAATCCTGTGAGCATGATACTTGAAATGATAAATGATTGAAGAGTTGTAAATTCATTTCCTTCTGAATTGTGAAAAAATGATAATTCACCAAAACCCAGTTACAGTAGGACCACTATATTTGCAGGATCAGTACCTTCACTTATCCACTGCCTGAAAATATTTTTTCAAAAACCCCACAAAATATGCATTTCCAAGGTGTGCTTTCTGGCTACTAGAGGAAATGAGAGACTATGCTATATATATGGTTTGCATATCTGCACTTTTCAGCATTGGCAGGTGGGTGGACGGCTTGGAACCCTGGCTGTACTGTATTACAAGGCTTTTCAGGGCATTCAGATACTGAGCCAGTAATGTGGGGATAAGTGAATGGATATTTCTGGATATAAGCAATGGCTGAAATCCTGTTGTTAAACTTAGTAAGTTGCACTATAGTAATAGTACCTTCCCATTGAGTGGAGATTTGGTGGATCAACTCCTCCGCAAGTTCTGTTGATTCCAATGGACCTATTCCACTCAAGTTGCAGCTAGAGTAGGCCCATTTGAATCAATGGAATTTGCAGAGGAATTGACTCACCAAATCTTCACCGATTCAAGGAGTCTACTTTTATGCAACTAACTGTGCTAAGGAACAGGATTTCAGCCATTACATACTTCAAAGTGACTGTTTATACATTGTTTAGCTACCATTCCCTCTTAGTCTTCAAGGCAAATTGGAAAGTGGCATACAGTAATACTTTTTATAAAGGTTGGGTGTATTACCAGTCTAATGACCAAGATGCACTGTGGCATCTTATCAGTTAGTTGCAGCAAGTTACCCAAAGCTTATGCAAACAACAGCACAGTACTTCTCATGGTCAAGTGCTTTGCATTTCTACATAGTTTTGACATTATCTTAGTATCAGAAATAGTATCCGGAGGAAGAGTTGAGTAAGTTTTTTTGATAGAAGAATAGCTGGGAGTTCCAGTTCTCTGTATCAGTCTTTTATCCACTATATTATATGAACTCTAATTAAAAAAAAAAAGAAAGGAATAAGAAAGCGTCAATTATCAGTCTACCTCCACAGTATATTATCAGTCTACTGTCACAGTATACTTTTAGAAGTATAGATGAGACTTCTGTTAGTAGGAAGATAAGAACCATGAGCAATTAAACTAGTGCTCTTATGCAAGTATGCAAGAGTTCACACACACTGAAATTATTCTCATTCTTCTGCTAGCACAAAGGGCACACATCATCTTTTAGACGAACCATTCTCAACAAGGCCTATATTCAAATTCAAATAAATTTATTGTCATTGTAAGTATATACATAGTATACCCAAGCGGCATTCCTTGTCTAGTTGTGCTGGCGACGTGACCACGGAAGATTGTCTTCGGACAAACACTAGCTCTATGGGTTGGAAACAGAGATGAACACTGCCCCCTAGAGTTGGACACAACTGGATAAATTGTTAAGGGGAACCTTTACCCACAACAACCATGGAACCTTTACCGTTACCTTATACCCATACAACGAAATTCACACAGACACCCAGAGACCAGACCCACATGCATACACATAGATAATCCCCAAACACTCCTCACCCACTAAAAATATGGCCCTCTGGACACATTTGAGGGGAGCCACAGATTGAAAAATGTGAGAGGTTTCTGAAAAATACCTGTTCGTGTTGCACCCTTGTGTGACAGGGGCCCCTGTAACTGGAGAAGAGTGACAGACGGTAACCTAAAAGAAGGTTGAGCGTGCTGTTTTAGACTTTATTCTGTTTTTTTTCTTCCATACAAATTTCTGACACAATATGTTAAGGAAAATAATCTGCATGCACTTTGTGTGCAGAATCACATGTGCAGAATTTTCGAGAACATTTCCAGTAAGGGCCATTAAAGCCTGTGTTATCATTCCCACATCTGTACAGTGATCCATCACAAAGTGATTCTAATGCAAAGGATTTTTGGATGGACATGCAAGCTGTCACACTCTACCTCAAGAAGCTATCAGAACAGAATCCATCTGCCTCTTATTATAATGTGGATGTTCTGAAGTATCAGGTAACATTTTTTATTCTCATATTGGGAACTAATGGAGAATTTGAATTTATGTTCAGTATATGGTTCCTATAAGGAAAAAAAGTGGTGTTATCAGTAACACAATTGACTTTTTATATTGAGCTTCTGATTAAGGCTGCTCTGCAGAAATTGTCAGTGGCCAATTTTATAGCTGCTGTAATACCGCCTAAGAGATTTTTTACAAGGAAGTTATTTGTTTCAAAAATGTTGTTAAATAGCATATATACATATTTAAATTATATATTTTATCTCTCTGTTCTTATGAAACATCTGTGGTAGCTAACAAAACTAAAAATTTGGAACTACCAGTAAAGGAAAATTAAGAAGACCAAAACAGTTAAAGGGAAAAAGAAATAGGAATAATAATCTTCAAGATTCGACAGGCTCTAGATTCAGAACTAGAATGTTTTCTGATATCAGAAAGCCAATAAGAGATAAAAAGATTTCCTTGAGCATTGCACTGCACAGCCTGGCCATTCAAACAGGGAAAGTTCCATTTCTGCCAACTGCATCAGTAGATCGTAATGATATTGTAAGAGGAATGAAGTTAAACCTTGTAGGACACCATGCACCAGCAGTCCATGCTGTTGGACCATAGTTTAGTTGCCTAGAACCATTCTTTGAAATCTTCCTTCAGCAAAGAAACCAATGCAGCTGTGCTCACAGGCCCACTTTGGCAAGGTTGTCTACAAAGACACCATGATAAATGGAATCAAAAGTTCTGGAGAGGTCCAGAGTTAGCAGGGATGTACTGCTCCTTTCCAGCTCTTGACATAAATGGCTCATTATGATAATGAAAGTTATCTTAGTGCTATAAAAGATGCAACTGCATGCAGTCATTTCTCTTTCTTAGCTCATTCATTTTTCAAGGAGGAGAGATATGTTATATTCAAACCATGTTAGTCAGTTTCAGAATAACAAAAGGAGTCTTGTAGTACTGTACCTTTAAGATTTGTGGGTGCCACATGACTTTTTTTATTTGATCTGTGTTATATTACTGGAAAATTTTAGAATTATTTTGTACTTCTAAATCAAAACCACTTGTTCTCAATCACAGCAACTGAGAACTTCATACTGTGTCAGTAAATTAAGAACATAGGAACATGAAAAGCCCTGCTGAATCAGGCCAGGTGCCCATCTAGTCCAGTTTCTCATATCTCACAGTGGCCCCACCAGATGCCTCTGAGAAGCCCACGAGACAACTAGATACCTGTCTCCTGATACCATTCCCCTTCTTCTGGCATTTAGATGTACCTTCCTTTTAAGCCTGGAGATTATACATCCCCATCATGGCTTCTAACCTGCGATGGTTAGAATCTGTCTAATCCCCTTCTAAAGGCATCTAGGCCAGATGTCATCACCACATCCTGTGGCAAGGGGTCCACAGGCTAACAACACACTGAGTAAAGAATTTTCTTTCGTCTGTTCTCATTCTCCCAACATTCAATTTAAGTGGATGTCTCCTGGTTCTAGTATTGCTTGGGGGGGGGGGAAGCTTCCCTCTATCCACTTTATCCCTCTCCTGCATAATTTTATAGATCTCAGTCATGTCCCCCATCAGATGCCTTTTCTCTAGACTAAAGAGCCCCAAATGCTGTAACCTTTCCTCAACAAGGGAGGAAAGCCCAGTAATCATTTTAGTCGCTCTCTTCTGCACCCTTTTCCAGTTCCGCTGTGTCTTTTTTGAGGTGCAACAACCAGAATTGTATGCAATACTCCAGGTGTAGCCTTACCAACATTTTGTACAATGGTATTATAATGTTGGCTGTTTTATTTTCAACATGAATATCTTTTCATATTACAGTTCTTTATATCATTTTCTATTGAGGTGTGTACTGAAAATTTTTTACAGAACTATATTTTGTTAATTGGCTCTTTATGGCACAAGGTATACATTATGGTAGAAACTAAGCTATGGAATTCCTACAATATTTTTAGAATTGAGCTTATAAGTAATTATTGTTTTCAAAGGTTTCTTCAAACGGCATCCAGTCAACACCTCTGAATCTTGCCACATACTGGAAGTGCAATGCTACCACTACTGATGTGAGAGTTGATTACAAATACAACCCAGAATCTATGGCAGTGCCAAGTATGCTGTCCAATATACAAGTCATGGTACCAGTTGATGGAGGTGTAATAAATATGCAGTCACTTCCACCAGCAAAATGGTAACGTCATACTCTTTAGTATTGTGTTAAATTCATGCTATTATGCTGTTGTTTCTTATGATTATATTCTTAAACTTTTCAGAATTTTTTCTTCTTTGTTTTTCTTTTTTACTTTAAGCTTGTGTTTGGATACTGTGGCTGAAATCCTGTTACTTATGCTGATTAGCGTAATCAGCAGCATAATTTTCAATGGTAAATCATCACTAGTTTAAGGGGTTGGTGCCCTATTTTTCTTATCACACAGCTTTTGCCTGATTCAGTGTTTAAATATACCAGATGGGCGGGATATAAATCAAATAAATAAAATAAAATAATAAATAAATAACTAGGAAAAAGGCCAGCAGTTTTGACTGCCAGGAATTTGTTGCTGAAATTTATGCCAATGATTACACTGTCATAAATACATAAAAAGTTGCCAACCTAAAAACAACATAAAAGTTAAAGATAATAAAAAGATCAAAATCAGTTCAAAATTATTGTGATTATGTTTGTTATAGTTTGGAAGCAGTTCCTCTCTTTTGGCGGGAAATAACAAAGGAAATTCCTTTTGAACAAACAGTTTTATTATTCTGAACATTCGGAGGAAGAACAATTACCTCAACCGGTTCTAATACACTAATATAATTTAACTGTCCATAGCGTGCTGTCAACAGTTCTATATTTGAGTTGGTGGATTCTAGGAAGGGGCTGGTCCAAACCGTTCATGATCTGTTGGTCTCCTCTGCGGGGTACTCCTCACTGTGCCAAACCGTTCATGATCTGTTGGTCTCCTCCGCGGGGTACTCCTCACTGTGCAGATGGTCCCACAGCAGGGATGTCTGGCCCATTCGCCCTCCAGAGGCAAGTGATTGAATGCGGAGTCCAGCTGAACCACCTTCTTCCAACGTCCCTGCCCCCTCCAATATACCACCACTGTCCATTCTAATGGATCCAACAGGGCTTTTATGGTCCCACAGCAGGGATGTCTGGCCCATTCGCCCTCCAGAGGCAAGTGATTGAATGCGGAGTCTGGCTGGACCACCTTCTTCCAACATCCCTGCCCCTTCCAATATGCCACCACTGTCCATTCTAATGGATCCAACGGGGCTTCCTTTAACTGAATATGGTCAGGATTAGGCAGTAGTCCTCTGGTCTTTAAATTAGGGAAGTCTTCCAGTAGAGCTTTCATATTCAGCTTCTTTTCCCTTCTGTCTTCTTTCTCCCGTCCTCTTCTCCTGACCCCGCAATTCTGGATTCTCCCCTCCCCCTCTTGTCTTCTATATTTTCCTCCCAAACTCCTCCCCTTTTTCTCCCTCTTTATCTTCTACTAAACAGACCTCAGTCTTTTCCTTTACCTTTTTCAGCTCCCTCTTTCCAACCTTCTCTACGTTCACCCCTTCCTCCAATGTCTCTCCCCTTTTTTCTACTTCATCCTGCGCAGGTATCTTTTGTGAAGGGGACGGCTTACTCTCCATTTTCTCCTTTCTCTCTATCTCTTTTTCACAATTATGTATAAAGTACACAAGAAATATACAATAATTATAAACTCTTGTTTGCAGCTAACTTTAATAGGAGCTGGTTTTTGAACTGAGCAACAGCTAAAAAATGATTTTGTTAAGATTTGCCCACTTGGCAATTAACAGCCAAAATATTGATATGCTGGTGGCATGTTTGAAATGTGAACTGTTTCACTGATATAGTAAGAAGTGGATGAAATAAAGCAAATGGGTCTTGAGAAGTGCATAAGCCTGTCATTTTTAGTTAGAGCTTACATGCCTGCAGTCCTTCTCCTCAAAAATGCTCCTGTTCCAACAAAGCACAGGAGAAGCCTTGAGGAGAAGTTAGAGGGAACAGATGGGTCTGTGCTTCTTGTACCACCACTTTTACTTTTAAAATTTGATCGTCGCATCCCTCTTTGAACATGATTGGCAGGGATTGAAAATTCCACTTGTCCACTCGTCTGTGATGAGTAAAAACACTGCTTGACAAGCCACAGCTCCCTCCATCCATCCCTCCCTGCCTCCTTACCATCAGTCCGTCTCTCTCTCTCTCTCTGATCCTGCAGTCCTCCCCTCCCCCCTCCCATTGCAAAAGGAAAATCAGCCCTCTTCTCCTGAGAAGAGAGTTCGAGCGGCACATAGAGATTTGGCTCTGCAGAAGAATGTAGAGTAGTCTCATGCTGGAGAATATGGAGATTCCCTGCTCCCAATTTCAACCAAACAACCTGGCTCCTTAAGAGGCCGGGCGCTTTTGCTTTCAGTTTTATTTTTGCTGGAGACCTTCAAAAGAAAGGCATTCAAAATACAAGCTTCATGACTCCACAGGCACACAGGTAATAAAGCAACCCAAGTCTGAGGGTATATTTATTTTGGGTTTGTATGCATTGCTATGTAGAAAGTGACTAGTTTAAATTTAATTTTAAGTTTAAACATAAATTACAAGGCTATAGTCTGGTCATGCTGACTGCTGAAATTTTTGACTGACTGGTGAGACACTCTAAAATTTTTCAAGCCCTGATGATTGGGATAGTTCTGTATACTTGGACACACAGGATATGCTGCCATTATATTAGGTGTGTCCGTTGGTAGTGTGGTGGCTGTATATGCGTTGATGGACTCCTAATAAATTCCTTCCTTGGTACTATGAACTGTAACAAAAGTCTTTCAAACCTTTTTTCTTACATTGTTCAGTTCCTTACAATTGTTTGCCTGTGTCTTGATTCACACACGTCAACAGTTCTGATGTATATGGGATGAAGTCTGATAACCTCAGTCACTCTGCACAGGCCCTATGAATATGTTTCTGTCTTGTTTTTGTTTTGTTTGTGTGAGGGAAAACAGCTGAGATGTTTAATAATGGAAAGGTCAGTGGGATTGGAGGTAAGATAAGTCTTTGGGCGTTGAAGCAGAGTACAGTGGTGCCTCGCTTAACGATTGCCCCGCATTACGACGAAATCGCTATATGACGATCTTTTTATAATCGCAAAATGATGGTCTAAATAGGGTTCTTTCACTTTGCGATGATCACGCAAAATGATGGTCTAAATAGGGTTCTTTGCGATGATCGGTTTGCTGCTTCGGGAACCAATTCTTCGCAAAACAATATTTTTTTAACAGCTGATTGGTGGTTTCAAAATGGCCACTGGGTGCTTAAAATGGCTCCCCGCTGTGTTTAGGGACGGATTCCTCGCTATACAGGCAGCGAAAATGGCCGCCATATGGAGGATCTTCGCTGGACGGTGAGTTTTTACCCCATTGGAACGCATTGAACGGGTTTCAGTGCGTTTCAATGGGGTTTTTAATTTCGTTTTACGATGTTTTCGCTTAACAGCGATTTTCCTGGAATGGATTATCGTCGTTAAGCGAAGCACCACTGTAAACCAAAATCTTCCACTTGCCTATGTCTAGTTAAGCCTGTGATTCAGTACCTCCTTATAGCCTTAAATGTTCTAACAATTGTTTCAGCCCTGGTTTTGGTTTTTAACTTGGCCTTTCTATATTAAAGTCTTATCCTGCAACTTCACCAGAAAAATAGGTTTAATGCAAGCTCTGTTCATTATGATCAATCACCATCTTTGTGGTCAAAATCAACTGCTTGATAATAAGCTATTGCATTTAATTTCTGCTCTTTTCAAGGCTGCTTTGACAGTGTGTTTTCAAAATAAATTTAAGACTCCTTTGGTTTCAGTACTGCTTATTTAAGCATTCAGCTATTTGGTAACATCATTTTAGGATGCTATCCTATACACACTTAACAGAAGGAAGCTTCCCTGATTATTTGTGCTCTTTGGAATACAATTGAAAAGGCACCAGTAAGGAAGCTCATGTATAGTATCTAATTTGGATACCATAGCAGTAACCTCACTTTTTTCTTACAGGAATTCAGAACAAATGAAAGCATTTTGGAAATTATCTGGTATTTCAGAAAAATCAGAAAATGGAGGTGAGAGTGGATTTTTTGTCATATCTGTGGCTATATAAGAAAAATCTTTTAAGTGATTAATATTAAGTTGGACAAGTAAACCAGGGGAAGATGAAGCACATTCAATGCCTTATCTGTTCAGCACTATTGAATGATTAATAACTATTCTTTGCACTACTTTGAAGACTGTTCAAGTAGAAAAACAACCTAGAAAATAAATAACATATATTTAAATTTCTAAGCTGTTTCTCTAGCAGAGGAATTTGTATGATTTTTCTTCTCTTCAAAATTGAACCCCTACATAGGAATACTATCAAAGCAACATTTGGGTTCGTGCTTTAATCAAAAAGGAATCGAGTATGAAAAAGAATTTGCAGGAAAAATGGTTTTGCTTTCTTACCTCTAAAACGACATAAACTCAATGTTAGGAGAAAACTGTGGGTGATTCAAACTCTTGGGTTGTAAGATTTCTGGGTTCAGTATGCTGACATGGGAAGTTCATACTATATGTAGACCTGGCTGCTTAGGTGCTATGGAATATTAGTGAATATGAGAAGTTTAAATAAATCTGTTTGCAGTGAAGGATTTTGCAGAGTAGAGAATAGTGCTGTCAAAGTGTTCCTCAAATGTCATATTGGCCGAGATCTTCTTGCTATAACTTTCTGGTGCACAAGTGCAATGACATCCTGCAGTGGTAATACTGTACTTAAATTGAAACTTTTCTATCTACCTTAAGGTTCCAAAGTTCCCCAGGTCAAAGCCCCAGGAAAAGGCTTTGACCTGGGGAAGTCTTTGGGAATCTCATGATGGGTATGTGGGGGGAGCATTTAATATCCAACGATTGCTACTAGATTGAGATCGGGACTGCCACCAGAAATCTGGTGGTAAATATTACCAGGTGATGAAGATATCCTCCAAGTTATTTCCATCCATATAGTTGTACTTTTGCAAACTACTTGGCTGATCTTTTGCATGTGTTCTTTCTTATTTTCATAGGGTCTGGTTCTCTTAGAGCCAAATTTGATCTTTCAGAAGGACCCAGTAAACCAGCAACACTTGCAGTGCAATTTATCAGTGAGGGAAGCACTCTTTCAGGGGTAGATGTTGAACTAGTAGGCACTGGCTATCGACTTTCCCTAATTAAAAAGAGGTTTGCCACAGGTAAGATAACTCACATTAAGTTCTCATGATATGCCATAGGGCCTATTTGTATATTTATTTGTCAGATGTACATGGCATGTGTCTTATTAGTGCAGCCACAATCAGCACTACATTTGCAAAGGGAAGCTTCTTTCTAATGCCTGTCTCTATTCAGTAGGCATACATAAGGAAGCTATTTCCTGGCATGTCATTCAGTGCTTAGAGATGTATCTTCCCTTTATGGTTTTCCTTCCAGACACTGATGTATGGTTTACAGATACATCAGTTTCAAAAATAATGACATGATCTTCAAAGTTATGTATTAATTTCACATTTTTAAAATAAAAGCAGTGGACTGATATCCATAAACCAAACATTTTAAAAAGTTCACACTGTTTTTTGTTACCAGGCTAAACTTTGCTTCTGTACTTGATCTTTTTCTTTTTGTCCTTGCTCCCTGAGCCTCTGTATGATAAGGAAGTTCCTGCCACTGCTGGTTGCTAGAGGGTAGGAAGCGGTGGTGAGGATTGCCTCTCCCAAATTCTGAAGGGGGCACAGGTCATCACACAACTGCTGGGATGATTCCATCATGTCTGGAAGGAATGCAAGGGTTGTCATTCATACTGATCAAGCAGTGTGGTGAAAATGTGGGAAGTGCCATTAAAACTAGCCATGTCTGTAAACAGACTCAAGTTTTTGATTAACTACATGTAATCAGTGCAAGAGTTTTGGATTCTCCCTTTATTGGAAAAGTACTAATAACATACACTTATTTTGTCTTTTAGGACGGTATATGGCAGATTATTGACGAATCTACGAAGAAAAATACTTAGTTCAGTGAATAGGAGTTGATTATTTTATGAATTTCCCGACACTATTTTAACATGCATTAAATTTCAAAAATATGTTGCTTAGGTCTTACACCCAACAAAGTGATTTGCACTTTGAAAAATAAATCATTTTAAAATATTCTTTTATTTTATAATAGTATTGAAGTAAATTCCAACACTATCTATTGAAGATTGACTACAATATTGGGAAGCAAGATTTAAATACTTATTACTAATGTAGCCTCAGAGTCAAAATAGAAATAATGTGTACTGTTTAAAAGGTGAGGTGCTTTATGACTCCATAAAGAAACACAACATATATTTTAGCTTGCTATAAATATTACTCAGCTATAATTGTTTCAGTTTTTATTATTGCCATTCCATAAGCAAACAGTGGCAAAATAATTTTTATTTCCTTTGTGTATATTCTCGTGCCATAACTTACTACAGATACCTGTAAAATAATTTGATTTCCATATTCCATACATAATTAATTGTACATTGTTTTATAAAAGAGTTTTTTAATGTAAAGTGCAATTTTAAAAAATGCAATGGGCACACAGAGATATTTACTTCTGCCATTACTTAACTTTATGGAAGTTGTAATTTTAATTAATGCTGTAGATTAATTTATTTTTATATGGAGTGTAACATTTGTGCCTTTGTAAAGCTGTGCCTGTCAAAACTGTTTATGTGCCTCTTACTCCTTTTTTTCAGTGTCAATATCTTACAATAAACACAGCATTATTTCTGTGTACAATATGAAACTACATACTTCCCTAGGCAAGGATTTAGAAGGGAAACATACCATAACTACAATATAGCCTTTTAAAATATTAATTGACTTCCTTCTGGGTTAATTGCAATAAATACAGCCACTGTAAAGGGAACTTCTTGGCTTTGTTAGAATCACAGGAAAAAATTAAATTCAGTATCACCAAAGATCTGTAAAATCCTGGTATATTAAAGTTTTAATTTATAAATTACATTTATAAATTAATTATTTAAATGTTAAGATGAGTCTGCAATCTCTGCTATATTTTAAACACTCTGGCATATAGTGGCTCTAAACAGTAAATGAACCAACCAATTGCAGTAATTGTAATACATATTACAATTTTTAATGCTTATGTGCTATGGTATTACAGCCTTATGAAAATCAAAAGTTGTGGGGTTCATTGAATTTTCTAAGTCATCAAATGGATGGAGATGAGATCTCAAAATCTAAGAAAAGCATATAAAAACACATTTAAAAAAAAACACTTGTAGGATCCATAATTGTAGAATTCATAGTCAGCTTTCTATAAAAATACAGATATATGCCTCTAGCCATTTAATTTTCTCAGATATTAATACACTAAAAGGGCTATAAACAATGAAATATGCATATGTTCAGTTGATTTTAAAGGAACTTGTATTTGGGCAGAATATTCTACCACTTTAGCAGGACCATTCGTCCCCTTAAAAAAGTGGCTTTACAATGACTATTTGGGACAGGTAGAATTGAATAAGTTTTGAAATGAGGAATAAGCTTGACTTTAGAGACTAGGTAGGGATAGAATCTTCTTTGTTTCTATTCCTTATGTGCTGGTCTGTTGCACAGATAGTTGTATTTTTCCATAGCTTGTGCAAGGGGGTATTGGCTTGTGCAGACGTTCTGTTGCTTTAAATAAAATCTCTGGCTTATGCAGCTGTAAATTGGAGATTACGTATAGCACTATATCTGTGGTGGTATTATTTTCCATATTTCGTAACAGGATTTTGGTCCTGGTAGGTGAAGGTTTTCCTTTCTAAAACTGGAAAAAAAAGTTTTGCCAGAACTTCAAGCAGCAACTTTGCTGGCCACAACAGTCCAGCAGCACTCCTTTTGTTAACTGGGCAAAATAACCCATGAGAATTATGCTGCATTGCAAGGTAGATCATTCCCTGGAATATCCTTATGAACAAAAAGACGGCTGTCCTCATTAACCAGTAATGGCAACACCTTTTTCTCTGCTTTAGAAAGCGGAGCCTGTATACCATCACATTTAACCCTCAAATATTTTAATCCAAGCTAGGTAGCATTTTTGTCCCTATCACTGCTGAAGAAAATCTGGGCTGGATTCTTGAGTTCAGCACCAATTTATACAGTGGTAACCAGTTGCAGTTAAAAGAATAGTTTTGCTTTTACATATTTTGTTTTATACAAATCTTAACTAGATTTCATTGGAGCAATATATATTGGATATTCATATCCTAAAATGTTAGTTTTTGTTGAAATAATACTATGACTTAATTAAAGTAACGGCATTTCAAATGGTACAGTTTTGGTGGAATCTTAATTGTAATCTGCTCATGCAATCAAAACTGTGTGAACAGTTTTATACCTTACAACTAAAATGTGATCTCATTTATCATGAATTATTCTAAATTAGTGTACATGCTAGGTTTCAGCACTTTCAACCTACCCTTCATATGAAGGTTTCTCAAACATACATTACAAATGATGCAGGTTACAATTTTGAAGCCATATGCTTTTACATAGAATTTTTATAAAGAAATCTAAAACTTGTATAAAAATACATCTTGTCTTACAAAAACTGTGTGTAGCAAGCTGGATCTTGCTTGTGTATATTTTGTGATCAGCTTTGTAGCTGCCTCTTGAAAGAATGTGTAAACCCGGGTCTAAAGGGTCTGAGGTTTTTATGTAAATTAGAGCAATCTTAGAGAAACTGTAAATATAGCTGATCTTCCACAAAATGTAAAAAATGCACCCTATAATAAACATGTAATATATAACTTATAAATTGACTCTTGCCATTTATTAGTGGTATTCTCAATCACAAATATTTGTTTTCACATAAATTGATTTGACTAACAGAAATGTATTTTATTTTATTTAGTTTGTTGTGTGTGTGGCAAAATTACCTAGCCTCCACTAGGTAAACTGTTAACTTTCTTGGGAGGAGACAACTGGTAAAACAAAATTGAACTAGGTACAGTGGTACCTCGACTTACGAACTTAATCCGTATTGGAACGGCGTTTGTAAGTCAAAATGTTTGTAGGTTGAAGTACCATTTCCCTTGAAATGCATGGGAACGGGTTTAATCCATTCCAGCATTTCAAAATAAAATAAAATAAAATAAAATAAATAAAACACTGCAAGCCCCTGGGGACGGACAGCAAAACACACACACACACACACACACACACACACACACACACACACAGCACAAGACAGCACAGAAACATAACCCCCCCAGTCCAAACCCACCCTCCAAAACGCACCCAGAACAGTTTTTAAAAAGGACTTACTAGTCCGAAGCCTCAGAAGCCTCCTGGCGCTCCACTGCCTCCACTGCAGATGGCAGTGAGCGGCCAAGCGCCTGGCCAGCTCAAGCCTTCTGGCGCTAGGTGACCACTGCTTCCCTGCCACCATCGGAGACCTCCTGGGGGTCTCCCACCACCGCGATTAGCGCCTTCAGGCTTTCCTGGGGGTTAGACAGGGCCTACCGGGAGAAGCCCTCAGGGAAAGCCTGGTAGACTGGGCCTACAGGTGCTTGGCCGCTCACCCCCAGTAGGCCCAGCCTACCCCCCGAGGAAGCCTGAAGGTGCCGATCGTGGTGGCGGGGAACCCCCAGGAAGCCTCTGATGGCGGCAGGGAAGCCCTGGGGACCTCCTGGGAGTCCGATCGCGGCTGCGGAAAAGGGTGGGAAATTTAAAATTGCTCCCCCAGTGCTGTCAGACCCCCAGGAGGTCTCCGATGGCAGTGGGGGACCCCAGGGGAGGTCTCCCAGGGCTTCCCCGCCACAGTCGGAGACCTGGGGGTCCTCCACCACTGCAATCAGACTACCAGGAGGCCTCCGGAGACCTCCTGGGGGTCCACCACCACTGCAATCAGACCACCAGGAGGCCTCCGGAGACCTCCTGGGGGTCCGATCGCAGTGGCAGGGTACCCCCAGGAGGTCTCCAAACGTGGCAGGGAAGCCCTGGGAGCTTCCCCGCCGTCATCAGAGACCTCCTGGGGGGGTCCCTTTTCCTAATCATTGGGGCGAAAGAGCAGCATGAAGTTTTGAATGGAACAAAAAAAAAAGGCAGGGAAAATTTGAATTTTCTGCCCTCTTCCTCTGCCTTTTTTTCATTCGTAGTTCGAGGCTCCATTCGCAAGTTGATACAGATTTTTGCGAATGGAGCCGTGTGTAAGTCAAAATGTTTGTAGGTAGGGACGTTTGTAAGTCAAGGTCCCACTGCATTGTTGTCCTTTAACAAAAAGAAAAACTCAAGGAACTGGTTGAAGAAGGGGAAAAGTTGTAAACAGGTCTCAATGCATTATTTGCTCACTTAGTGCTTTCTGGCTGTGTCGGACTACAGTGCCTGTCATCCCAAGTCAGCATAGCCTGTGGCCTAGAAATATTGGCCAGAATCCTGTTGATGCTCCACATATAGGGTTAATGACATATCAGCCATGGCCTTATATATTTAATTAAAAGTTTCCAAGGTTCCCTTTTGATCTGGGGAAGTGTTTAGGAACCTTGGCACAAAGTGATAGGGGCCTTATGCCAAACTGTCTCCTTGGTATATATTCTTGCTATGTCAAAAAGACAATTGTTTTGTAGACTGGGAGCCCCGTATCCACAGGATCAGTATCTACTGTTTCACATGTCCACAGTCTGAAAGATACTAAAAAAATTTAATCCAGAAAAAAAGCTATTTTCACATGTATTACAAGAACAGGCCACTGGATGGAGTGGTATGAATACTGTACTTTTTAGTGAAGAATGCATAGCATGGTCTCTAGTGGCCAGTTCTGGTAACGCATGTGTTTATAATTTTTTTGTGTTCGCAAAGGCTTTTTTTCTTGTTCTTTTTCCTTTTACCATTTTATATATATACAATGGTATATTCCATTACACACACACACACACATACACACACACGTATATATAGCATTTGCTATTATCCACAGTTTTCAGTAATATTTGGGTCCTACTGTATTGGAGATGTTGATGGTATATTAACAGTAACTTTATATAAGCAATAATTTGATTTCACCCTCCAGATGTATTTTACGTACTCACTTTTATGCTACTCATACAAGCAATGTATGTACACTAGATTAGAAGGGGGAAAGTTGAGCTAGTCAGACATACAACTTTACATAATGTCTAATTATATATAGCTGCACCTAAAATGTCCATGTATAATATGAGTGATTATCAGTTTATAACAGACAGACCATGTAGATGTTTAGTCCTAACCCATAGCAGCTTTCACTGAAACTAGATGTCACTAGCTTGGTTAAAATTGTGCGCACTGGAGAGCAAGAGTTTTTCTGCACCTTCTAACCCTGTTGTGCAGCTAATTGCCACTGATTAAGTTTTGGGGTGCATGTGACTCATATACAATACAGTGAAGTAGTACGTATATATGATGAAATGGCCAAAGAAAGCCATTGGTGATTTGCTATTTATGACCTGTCTGTTGCACATGCAACAGGATTTCAGCCATTGTGTGGTAAAAATAGGTTGGTGAACCCATTCTTCAAATAGTTTCTTTGTATGGCTACAAGTCTTTGCAGTGAGAGAGCATGATCAGGAAGTGCATAGTCATGGTCTCTGTGATAATGATGGCCACTGTTACACAAAAGGCATCTGCAGTGGCAAACTAATCAGACTGACAAACAGTACCGCTAAATGTTTGCAAAAGTTAACTTGCATTCCTTATCCAAAGCTTCATTTTTACCCTGCACCATTTCTTACACTACTGTCATGTTACTGCCATTGTTTCTCCATGGATATCAAAGAGCAAGCTATTATGCATGAGTTCTGTGTGAGGAATATATCTCCCCCACTTAATGCTGCGTTGAAAAATTGTGTGAGACGTTCAACCATTTTCATTCAATTTGATAGGGAAAAATTCCAATACAAGACAAGACTTCAAGGAAGGAAAAAGTTCAGAGAAATTCTTATGAGGGTCAGGATCTTTGTGCTTATAATACTTAATAGAGTGCCTGAGGAGAGTGTGCCTATTTTACAGTACAATCATCCCTTTGAAGACAGGCAGGCACCTCAGTTTCCCATGTTTCAATTAACACTTGAGGAGAAGATGACCAAAGGTACAGTACAGTAACTCCTTTCACAGGGTTTTTTCATGATGGAGATGTGTAGCAGCCCAGGAAGCTGTACAGTAAGGAAGATATGTGTAATAGAAAGAAAAAAAATGCAACACCATCATACATTTTGCAGTTTTCAGGTAAGCTCAAAAATATGATTCAAAG